TATCCGATCCATTTAAAAAGATGAGATCATAAACTATACTTTGTCTTTTTAAAAGTGACTTTAAAATACTTACTTCTGAGGTGACTAAGTAACACATGCACAGAATGAGGCTACAAAACTCCAAATGTGTAAAAAGGAATATGGCAAACGTCTCCATTCTAGTCCTGTCCACCAATCTCCCTCCCTGTAGAAAATGACTGCATTCAGTTTTTCTTGACAATTTCCTAATATCAGAATCAGAAGGTTAGACATGAGTACAGAGGTCATCTACTCCAGATGTTTCTTTGCCAGACGTTACACTGGCTTGTTCCTTTGGGGTAGCACCCTTACAGAAAGAGCAATGTGTCGTTTCTAGAAGAGAGGGATGGGAAAGCAGCATGCTGGGCATGAAGATCAAGAGGCACCATAAGTCCCAGGTCCCTTATTTTATAAATGATGGGACTTCTCTAAGGTCACATGGCTCGTCTGACAAAATCAAAATAATTGCATGTAACTAAAAGCTAAATTCCTTATCCTTTTCCTCAAATTTGTTTAGGTGGATTAATACCTGTATCACTAAATTGATGTTAATAAAGTTAAATTGATATGCTTTATTCAGGGCACAAACCAGAATATATGAACCAGGCAAAATAGTCAACACATTAGCGTCCAGGTTAGGACTTAGAAAAGGCATTCATTCTTAAATGAAGGCCAGTTTCACTAACTGGTAATTTGACAATTATTTCACATAAAGATTGATTTTTATTTTAAACTAATTCATGCTCATTGTAAAAAATCCAAACATTCTTTTAAAAACAAACAAACATGGATGTTTCTGTTTGCACTATTATATAAGCTGCTCTCTTTTTACTTCACTGCTTACCTAAGAGAACTTCCATGTCAGTGCATATACATTACCTTCATCTTTTCTAACAACTGCTGGGTATTCTATTATACACATACATGAAAATTAATTTAATAACTCCCTATTTTGGGGCCCTTGGATTGTTTAAAAAGTTTTAATATTATAAACATGCTGTAGTAAATATCTTTTTACATACATCTGTGTCTATTATTTGATAAGGATAAATTCCTAGAAATTGAATTTCTGTGTCAGAGTGTATGCATATTTAAATTATTGTATTTATGACATATTGCACTTCAGAAAGCCTGAATCAATCTATAATTCCACCAACAATGTATCAAAATACCCATTTAACCCACACTTGCCAATCTTTGGAATCTCAATCCAACAGGCAAAGAAGTTAATCTGCTGTTTAAAAGATTCAAAAAATATCCCCAAACGAACTAGACTTATTGACTAGCTCCCCTGCTTCCATTTTTTGCTAGTATATATTTGAACAGATAAGGGGAGACTAGGGTATTTCAAAGTCAAGTTTCCAAACCTTTTATACCAAATACGAACCATACTGATGCATTCACCAACAAGGATTAAAAACTGTGCAAAAGGGACTTCCCTGGTGGTGCAGTGGTTAAGAATCCGCCCACCAATGCAGGGGACATGGGTTAGAGCCCTGGTCCAGGAAGATCCCACATGCCGCAGAGCAACTAAGCCCGTGCACCACAAGTACTGAGCCTGCGCCCTAGAGCCATAACTACTGAGCCCGTGTGCCACAACTACTGAAGCCCGTGTACCTAGACCCTGTGCTCCGAAACAAGAGAAGCCACCACAATGAGAAGCCCCTGCACTGCAGCGAAGAGTGGCCCCAGCTCGTTGCAACTAGAGAAAGCCTGCGCAGAGCAATGAAGACCCAACACAAACAAACAAACAAACAAACAAACCCAAACTGTACAAAATTAGAATTTCCCCTAAACCCCAAAGAACATTTATATGGAGATCACAAGGATGAAGAAACAGTTTAGATAACTATCTTGGGAGATGATTTCCCTTGAAATGTGAGTAACACCTTTGAGGCATTTCAACAAATGGGATCTAAAGCTTCACTACTTAGAAGAGAGGATAGCTGGTTAATGACATTTATATGAAGTGAGTCAGAAGGCAGGATGGGCTTAAAAACTGGATGCGCCTGGGTACATACTATATGAGAAAGAAAAATGAGGAGGGTATCCGAATAGACTAGGCCATAATATGATGAAACTCAAATAGGGATATCTCCCTTCCTTAAAATCTACTCTTTGTGATGTAACCTACTGGGCAAGGTCTTCAATACTCTTTTCTTTGACAGGCATTATTTTGATGGATGAGGTAGAGTAAGAGGGAGGCTGCTGGTAAAGAATGAACTTTCCCCTTTTAAAATACTATTTGTAGGTAATTAGGAACAACTTTTATTATTTTTTTTGAGAGATAAGCTCTAAAGCAGTGGTTCTAAGTGTAGTTCCCAAGCAGCAGCAGCATTCACCTGGGAACTTGTTAGAAATGTAAATTCTCAGGCCCCATTCCAGACCCACTGAATTCAAAGATCTGGGGATGGGGCCAGAATCTGTGTTTTAACAAGTCTTCCTGGTGATTCTACTGCATAGCCTTCAGGTATTTAAGTAATTAACTTATTTATGTCAATGTTTTAAAAGTGTTTTTTCTTTTTTCAAATTAGTTAACTTTATGAAATTTGGAAAATATAAAATTATAAAAAGATGACATAAGACATAGATTGTTTAAACACATCTTAAAGAGAATATGGTGCTTTAAACAGAATGCTGTGTCTGGCATTTTGAAGTGCATGTTTCAGCAAAGGGTAGGGGCCTGTTTTATGTAAAGTGAAACTGCTTCTTCCAGGATGAGATTCCTGCAGTCCTTCACAGATGGTCTACATATTTCCATAAAATTGTATCTACTCTGAATTTGTTTGTCATTTAATTCATCTACATGGGCTTATTACGACAAAATGTCATCTTGACCAAAGAAAATACTTTCTTAAAAATCTCTGAAGAGAGATCAAAGGTTTTGACACGAGGCTTTAAATAGACTGTATTATGTTATGCACATGTTGAAAAACTATATGATTTTCCTGGGGACAAAATGTTTGAGTAGTATCTTGTTAATTTGTTTTTCTGTATAGGCAGAGAAAGTTTTCCTCCAAAATCCTGTGGATGGTTATATGTTCAACGTTTTGAGAAACTCTCCAAGTGTTATCCAAAGTGGTTGTTCCATCTTACATTCATACCAGCAGCGTATGAGAACACAAACCGCTCCTCACCCTCACCAACACTTGGTGTGGTGGTGTAGTAGCCATTCTATTAGGACTGTAGTGGTATCTTATGGTGATTTGAATTTGCACTTCCCTGATGACAAATAATGTTGAGCATCTTTTCATGTGCTTATTTGCCATTTGTCTATCTTCTAGTCCAATGATTCTATTCTTTTTTATTTCAAAAGAAATAAAAGCACATGTCCACACAAAGACATGGATCCTTGCTATGGACTGAACTGTGTCCCCTCCAAATTTATATGTTGAAGCTCTAACCCCTAAGGTGACTGTATTTGGAGATAGGGCCTATAAGGCGGTAATTAAGGTTAAAAGGATCATAAGGGTGGGGCCCTGACAGAATAGGTTTAGTGTTCTTATGAGAGAAGACACACAGAGCTCATGCTCTCCCCAACAGCTCCCAGCAAAGAGGAGATCATGGGAGCATGCAGTGGGATGGCAGCCACCTGTAAGTCAGGAGAAGAGGTTTCAACAGAAAGGAACCATCCTGATTAGACTTCCAGCATTCAGAACTGTGAGAAAATAAGTGCCTGTTGTTTAAGCCACCCAGTCTATGGCTTTTTGTTTTGGCGGCCGGAGCTCACTAGTATAGTCCTCATAGCAGGATCTGTAATATTTATATTATTTGTAATAGTCAAAAACTAGAAACCACACAAATGAATGGATAAACAAATGGTGGCATACACATGTTCAAAGGAATATTACTGAATAATACAAATGAACAAACAATTGATATACACAGCAACATGGATAAATATCACAATAATTATGCTAAATGAAATAAACCAGACCAAAAGAAAAGAGTTGGCACTATTATGCCATTTATATAAAACTCCAGAAAATGGCGATAACTGATAGTGACGGAAAGAAGGTCTGTGGTTGCTGGGGAGGTGAGGTGTGGTGAGGAATGACAGGGAGAGATTACAAAGGTACCGGAGCAAACTCTAGGGGGTGATGGACAGGTTTACTAGCTTGACTGTGGTGATGGTTTCATGTATGCATAAGTCAAAACTTACAAACTGTATCCTTCAAATATACACAGTTTACTGTGTGCCAGTTATAGTGTTCCTGAACCAAAATTGGGTCTGCTAGCCCACCCAAAGTAAAGCCAATCTCCCGACCGGGTTGTGGTGAATGAAAGTTCAGTGTTTATTGCAAGGCACCCAACATAGGGCCAAGCAAGGAGAACGGGCAGCTCACGGTCACAAAGACCTGAACTGCCCGATGGCTGTCCTGGAAGGGTTTTTAAAGACAAGGTGAGAGAAAGGGTGGATATCCTTCTGAATGGTTGGTGGTGAGGTAACAGGGTGGTGTTTCAGAAGTTAACATCACCAACCTTCTGGTTTGAACTGGTCTGTGGTCTACATGCAGTTAACTCCTTCCACCTGGTGGGATTTTAGCATCTTCAAAACAACTCAAGGATACGGCTCAGAACATTATCTATAAGCCCTTGAGGAGGAACTAAAGGTCCTTTGTTTTAATGGCTAAACTATTATTATTTTGTCTTGCTTCACTGTTTTCCTCTGCTTCTGCATTTTCTCACTTCTCTGATTAAATTTTCCCTTTGGAACTTGGGGAAGGCCTAGGAGACTAAAGCTTTTCTATAATATAAACAAGAGGCAAGGGGACATGAGGGTGGGGTCTGTTCCCAGGAAGGCCCCACAGTGTCTTGCTTGGTTTCCATAGCTCAATAGGCTGTTTAACAACAACAACAAAACACCTGTGGAATTCCTATTTTCTCCAGGAAATTCTAATTTTGTGTTAAGTGGATTTTGTTTTCTCCATCCCAATAAAGACATGGAAAAGAAAATGTGTCATCCAGAAAAGGCTGTCATATGTATAGGACTCCATGGCTTTGTACTTTCCCTTGTGAGGAGCCTAGAACAGAATCCCTGCCCCACCCCAAACCCCCAGCCTTTCCATTACCATTGGAGGTAAAGCGAAACAAAATCACAAAATCAAAGAACATAAAACAGGGGGCAGCAAAACTCAAAACTGGCAAGCAAATGATTACACTTGGGCCTTATCTTTTGTTTTTGTAAGCTTAGGTGGCTCTATTGGATATTGTGGTAAAGAATGAAAATCTGTTATGCAATCTTTCAGTCACATTTGGTAATTTGTGTGAGGAATTATATTACAGAAAAGAAAAGCTTCCCCAAGTAAAGACACTAAAATCTAGAATAATAAGATGTCAGCTCACGGGAGGCAAAACTTTGCCAGTGCAACCCAAAGTTGGACACAGAATTTGGTTAGAATTTCGAAACCTGCTTCAATTTCACGGTAAGTTTGAAAGATAAAGCAGGGTTTGATTCTTAGCTTTAGGTAAAGTTCATACCAAACATAGTGGGTTTATCACGCTTTGGGGGTTGTGCTAATTTATGTTTAGATGGGGCTGAGACAACAGGGAAGGAGGCTTTCTACAGAAGGTCCTTTGTGGCAAACCACTATGGGAGGAAATTCCTTCTAAAGTTGCATTGTGCATTTCCATTCTATAATTCTACCGTGCTGTGGATGCCAGGTGTTTTTTTTTTTTTTTTTTTAAGTAGTAGCGTCCTAGGCTTTAAGCAAATTTTTCGCACTTGGGCTCCGTAGTTTAAAAGTGGTAAAGGAGAGAGCTCAAAACCGTCTGATACCCAAACTCTCGCTCTTTCTAATACTCAATGTAAAGTAGAGAAGATTTCTGGGAGGCCTACCGTCCACCCTGGCCCGCGTCCTCCCCGGCCCGCGTCCTCCCCTTGTGTCTCCTATTTCACTTGCATTAACTTGCTCCTGGTTCCCAGCTGAAGTGCACAAACTGCACCTGCTCCGAAGGCCAGTGGGGGCCTTGCCTCACCCGCTGCTCAGCCTCGGTAGCTTGTGCACGGACACGAGTTCCCACCAGGGGGCACTGCAGCCTCAGAGCTATTGTGCCCGCCAATCCTGGACACAGCCGGTCCCGCGGAGGGCGTGGGACTGGGAGCGCGGAAAGCCGGGGTCCGACCCTCGCTGCGCCTGCCTTCCTAGAGCAAGCCTCCAGGTCTCCCCGGGAAACCCATACAGCGAGCCGGGCCAGGGCCTGCGACGGCTAGGCGGACCCGCTCCTGCGTCGCGCAGGTTCCTGTGCGGACCTCTCCGCACCTCGCCATTTGACCACCTCCGCTCCACCCTCCATCCCCGGCCGAGACCCCGCCCAGAAGGGGCGCCCCCTTCCCGGCCACTGGGTCCCCACTTCGCTCCAGGGCCTTTTGTAGACGCCCGGGCCCGGCCCAGCTGCACCTGGGCTACTCCCGCCCGGGGCGCCATCCCTTGCGCCGCCAAGAGAACTTTCCCGGGAGCCGCTGCGGCCTGGCGCGCCCAGGGCAAACCCCACCAGCCCGCCGGCCGCGTTCCCAGCCGGGGCGGCCGCTCCTCCGCCCGCAAGTCCCCCGACTGCCCGCTTCTCTGAATCTCCCGGGGAAGCAGCACTCCGCCGCCCGGGCAGGGGGTTCTCGGAGGGAAAGCGTCAACTTGGCTACACGTAGCCCCGTGATGAACTCGGGGATCCTCAGACGGGAGCTGCGCCCCGCGACGAGCTGACCTCCACTCGCCGGTCGCGGTAAGGAGCCCGAAGCCCTTTCCGACCCTTTTCGGGCTTCTCGGTGCCCGCGGGTTGGGAACGTGGAGGTGGAGGTAGCCGACTGAGTGACGACCCTCGCCACTGCCCCTGCAGTGGGGCCGGGACGTCGTGGGTACCCCTGACACAAAGGAACAGCCGAGTGCTCCCCGGTCGGCGGACCGGACCGGGGGCTGCGGGGTGGGGTCGGAGCTGGAAGTGCGCGTCCGCTGGGGACCCCGGAGGCGGAGAGGAGGCCGGTGCGTGGCTGCAGCGCTCCAGGCGGGCGTGGGTGGAGGCGGCTGCAGAGCTTCTAGGGGCTTCCAAGTACGGGGACGGCCTAGAGCTCTCGTCCCTCCCTTTTCTTGCCTCTTGTATCCTTTGACAGGAGATTTTTGTCGTCCCCAGGGCTGCGGTTGGGGCCGCGGTACCCCCGCCTTCGGAGGAGCCGGAGCCGCAGGATGCGCGGGGACGCGCCGCCGCCCTCTGCGCCCAGTTCCTCCGGCGCTTCCCTGGCCGCTCGCGGGCGCTGACTCTCTCCCGGGCTTCCCCGCCCTCCTTACCTTACGTCCGCGCCGCGCTGCTGGTCCGCGCCGCGCTGCTGGTCCACGCCGCGCTGCTGGTCCACGCCGGGAACTGGTCCTCTCGACCTCGCCGCGGTGCGGACAATAACTTAATGCCTCGCGCTTGAGGGGAGGGGGCGGCTCAGCGCCTGGGTCGCAGCTTTCTCCTCTGTCTGAGGCCGGCCACAGCCGACATGGGCTGTTTCTGCGCTGTTCCGGAAGAATTTTACTGCGAAGTTTTGCTTCTGAATGAATCCAAGTTAACCCTCACCACCCAGCAGCAGGGCATCAAGGTAGGCGCGGGCCGGGGGCATGTTCGGGGTCGGGGGTGCGTAGCCGGGCAGGCTCGGGGGTTCCGCGGCATTGTCCCAGGGCTGTCACCCGGGCGGGGCGGACGGCGGTGGCGTCTCTGCACGGTGGGAACGAACGGCAGTTGCCCCCCGCGCTCAGGTGGAGGGAGGACGTGTCAGGGTGAGTTAACTTTGAGTCCTTCATAAAGGAAAGTAAGTTTGACGCCTTGTAGGAGGGTCCATGCACCAAGCTCTCGGCTGCAATCCACCGTCCTGCAGCTGAGACCCAAACTTCCCTACGTCGTTTTCCTCCAAAAGCGTTTAAGGCCCCCGCAGCTCCCAAAGAGGCGCAGAATTGATTGTACGGGCAGCATACAGTGTTGAAGGCACGCTCTCCCTCGGCTTTGTTGAAGACCTTTTTTCTTGATAGGATTATTGGGGAAGTAAAATAATTCACTCGTTGAAACACATTTATTGGGTGGTTGTGATTGTGTCGCCCGTGTTTGTGGTTGGGTAATGCTACGTTCGGCCGGAAAATAATTTCCTTTTCCAAAAGCCACCTGGTTTATCCCAACATTTAAGTAAACATCTCTCCAAACGAGGTAATAACTTTGCGTCTCTTCGTAGGTCATTATAATGCAATTACTGGTATTAACCTAGAGAACCCAAACAAAAAGGCTGTGGGAGCTTGCAGACATTCACTTCCTTAATTTTGGCGAGCTCGTATGTTTACGGTTGACAACCTGACTGACGCGCCTGCGCGCTAGTTTTTCTCTTGCAACAACGTAGCTACCTAGAGGTGATCGGAATCCCGAGTGTTTTGTTTCCCTTTCTCCTTCAGTTTTAAATCATTTAGGCATTTTAGATACCTCAGCAGCTGAGTCTGATGAAGGGAAACCGTCCCCCTCCCCCCCCAAGGAGGCTGTCTGAGAAATCAAGTTCAGGCTGCCAATTGTCTTGTCCTAGTCTTGTCATCTCAGAAGTTAATCCTAATGGCGTAGGCTCTGGGCATTTCCTTGTGTGAATCAGATTTTACATAGCTTTATGCACACTAGAGTAAATGTTCGTGGCCAAAAGCTTCAGCTTTGTTATTACCGTTCTTGGTGTACAGAATTTTAATTTCACAGCTGTCATTTTTTTTTTTTTTTGTCAGAGAAAGAGGGCAAAAATGATCAATTAAAGCCACAAGATACAGTTAACCCTTTAGGAAATTGTTTTGAATATTGTTTCTTCTGTAATTTTAATAAGCAAAAGTCAATCAGATTCTCATTTAGTGTTTCCTTTCGAGGACAATAAAAGACTCTGGCGGGGGAGAGTGTTCATTGTATATTTTTAGCTTTTTATGTTCCAACTCCCAATCCCCCCCACCCCTATGAAATCAGGAAAAGAACTTACTTTACAAGATGACGTAACATTCTTTGGAGTACTGTGAGCACAAAATAGACAAAAGTAAAAAAAAAATCATACATTTTTGATAATACATAGATTCTCTTTGGCTTCGAAACAATTAGAGAAAGATAACTGATGATCTGTTACTAAAAAAACAGAAATCTTTCTGAAGTCTAAAGTCATCTGGTGTGTGAGCTTCCTATTTAATCATGAAAGCCCTACTCCTGTCAGTTGTGGAACATGTACATTATTCTGTCATGAGAGCAGCCAAGACTCAGAATCAAATGGAATAATTTTGTCAAAGAAACATGAATTAAAAATCCTGATCCATAATTACTTTTCATATCCTGATGGTGCTTATCTTGTTTTACAAATAGGTCAAAAATTGGTGAGGGATTCAAATGCAATAGCAACTTTATAATGCTGTTATTTTGGATATGTGCCATTTAACTGAACAATAATTTAAGCATGCTTTTGTTGGAAGTAATCATTTTGCAACAGGCTTGCCCTCTTTCAGTGTCACAAAAGCATGCCACAATTATTTTGATGGCCATATGTATAACACAGATGTCTGCTGAAGTTAACCACATTATCTGTAACTACCATGCTACCATAAAATGCATGTGTTAAGCACCTATCTGCTTGTGGTATGTACTAAATTAAACACATATATATATATTTACAAATGGTATAACGTATGAACAGCATCTTGCACGTAGATGGTATTCAAACATTGAATGAATATATGTATATTATTGTTCTGTACTTACTTGGCACTTTCTTTAACTCCTGCTTTATTATTATTATTTTTTTCTTTAACTCCTACTTTAGTTTGTAAATGAAATAGTAAGCAATTACTTCAAACTTAATAGCCAATAACTACTATTACAGTGTTTTCCCCCCCAGGATAGTACTCTTGATAATTTTGATTATCACTAATTAAAATAGAAGTTAAGCATGTGACATTTTCCCCTGAAATTAAAATAGAAAAATCTTTTTTCAAAAATATTATCTAATATTTATTTTGAGATGACCCCTTTTCACATTCTTTCTCAAATGAAGATATCTAATTCTGTGGTAAAATTATTCACATATTTCATCCCTTAATGGAAGGAATTTTACTGATTCCTAAATAGTTACTTAAGAATTTGCTGGCATTACTGTTATAATAATGCATTGTAGGTTAAAGAAGATTAATTGTAGTAAATTTAAGTAGAAAACATATGAGAGAAGCTTGGTAAAACATTTTTTTCTGTGTGCTATTTTGAAAAACACTCTCTGGATTTCTTTAAGCACCAAATTGCTCATTGAAAAGTTAGTTATGAAGTGATTTTTCTGCAACTCAGATCAAAGTTTTTCATCAACTTAAAAAAAAAAAACCAACGTGTGTCCTATGGAAAGCATTTCAGCCTGAAGACAATAGTTACACATCTTATGTGTTAAGATGAGTAGCACTTAAATGGAAAATAATTTTCTGTTTTAAAAATAATTAGAAAAATAAAACCCAGTGTCTGTATTCATACTAATGTGATGTAGCAATTTGCCTTCTTAACTTGTTTTAGAGCTAACCTCACCTTGTCAAGCAGAAAGTCTTTTGCGTGCAGTTCGTAGTTTGAGCCCTCTGCAAGATTTAAAAACCCAAGTTTATATAAACTGAATGTTATTGGTTGTGTGTCCAGCCACACAATAGCTTTTAGCTGTTTGTTCTCTGCTGCTATCTCTGTTGTTTATTTTAGTAAGAATTTCTGCTGTGGTTGGTCTCTTGGTTTTTTGAGCAGTGTTTGTTCAGGGAAACTTTTGTTATGTCCTGGGGGAGGTAGAGATCCTTCTTTTAGTTCTTTTAGAAAGCAAAACTTGAATGTGGCTCAGACTACTTTTATAAGTTGTCATTTGATTAGCAAAAGATTTTTAGGGAAAAAAATCACAAGGTTTGATGATTTAGTCCTCATAATTGCTGCTGCAAATGTGAACTAGATTAGTATTTTCATTTCAGCAAGATTTTAGTCCTCTGAGTAGTAATGTAATAAACACTGAGGTGCTTATTTTTGCCTCAGTGTATTTGACTAAATTAAGGAAACCAATATGACAGCAAGATGGAAATTCCATTAACTTTTTAAAAAAACTGCTTTATTGAGATATAGCATACAATTCACAAAGTTAGATTCATCCGTTAACTTTTAAATGAAGTTACTTCCTAATCATCCTGAGGTTCCTGAGGGAATATTATGAGTCAATTTTGATGTTTTGATCAGAAACTTCCTAATAAACTAGAAAAACAGAAGCTGGGGACTTAAATTATATGCGTGTCCCTTACCAAGGATTGTAATTTTCACTCCATTTGGACTGGTAAAGAAAACATCTGAGAAAATTTGGAAAAAGTGAAAAACAATAGTTTTTCACAAATCACATTAAGTGTATATCTATACCTTTTAATATCAACTACATAAGGTACACAGTCAGGGACCTTATAAACATAGGTTGAAGCAAGTAATCATACACCAACATTTCTGTTAATGTAAGATTGGCTGTAGTTAGTAAATTAGGCTGTGGTTAGTAAATTAGTAAATTAGATGTAACTGGGACAGAAGTACCCCTCTTCCACACTGCATCTAGGTTTCTAAAATTCAGATATGATATCCATGTTGTGACTGTTTAAGATCAGCTACTGTATAAATGCCCCTTCATATTTTTTTTGTTTTTAAAAAATGATTGAAAGTATTTTTTTAGCTTTATTGAGGTATAATTGAAAATGAAACTGTAATATATTTAAAGTGTGCAACGTGATGATATAATATGTATATATATATATATATATATAGTGAAAGGATTCCCACCATCCCACCATTGAGTTATTAACATTCCATCACCTCACATATTTACATTTTTTTGTTGTTGAGAACAGTTCAGTTCTATTCTCTTAGCAAATTTCAATTATACAATACAGCCTTATCACCTACAAATACCATGTTATACATTACATCCTCAGACTTAAGTGCCCCCTCAATTTTACAAGAAGTTTTTCTTGAAAAAAATTATTAAAAATGTCATTTATCATTTATGGTTTAAAAGTGATTTAAAAGCAATATAATGGGGAAAGAATTGTTTGTTACCTCTAGCAGGTAATGGCTAGCTATCCTCTTATAGGGACTTACACTTTTCTTGGTTGATGGTGAATCGTACTTTTTGCAGCCCCATTAGTGTAATTGTCCTTGAATTCTGTGATGTTAAGCTTAAACGGACTTTGAACTAAACTTAAACTAATGCAGAGCTTTTGTTTCTTTTGAGCATGGGTGGTGTCTTAGTCTGTTCAGGCTGCTATAAGAAAATACCACAGGCTTGGTGGCTCATAAACAAGAGAAATTTATTTCTCATAGTACTAGAGGCTGGAAGTCTGAGATCAGGGTGCCAGCATGGTCAGGTGAGGGCCCTCTTCCAGGTTGAAAACTTGTTGTATCCTCATGTGGCAAAAGGGCCTAGGGAGCTCTCTTGGCCTTTTTTTTAAAAATAAGGGCACTAA